AGACTCAGTCCTGTCCTTGGAAAAGCCAGGGGGGAGTGCTGCTGGCGAGGAGGGGGCTCGTTTCGGGGTCCCCGGGCTGTAACCCTGCCCTCCCTGCTGGATCTCATTGCAGGGAGCGGTGCTGGGCAAAGCCTGCCCGCGGCTCGCTGGGGATCCCAGTGCGGAGTTCGGACAGACTGGTTTGTGCTGGTCCTGCCTGGTGGGACAGTGGATGCTGTGCCCTTCACCTGACTGCCACCTCAGGGCACCCCAGGAGGTGCTCTTGTGAGTTCAGGACCTGGGGACCTGCCTGCAAGTCCCAGGTCTGTCCTCTGAACCTGAGCTCAGACTTGGCTGGCAACAAAATGAAGCCAGGTCTAAGGCTCTAGGTTCCCATGCTTCCAACAGGTCCTTGTGAGTGCTGAGCAGGATGCTTGGAAGCCACTTAAGTGGGAATGGTTTACTTCCATAGGCTATTATATTTGCTTTGAACCACCTTCTTGCTGCGTTTTACACAAAGCCCGCTCTCTTTGGAGCAAAGCTTCTGTTTAGGTCTAATTTCTTTCAATGGGACTTCAGCATGTGCTCAAGTACTTTGCTGATTTGAGGCCCCAGTCATTAACTTTGCAGTTGATTACTCAAGTGGATTTTAGGTGGAGGAATGGGAATGCTAACATCCAGTGGGAAGAGTTGAGCCAGTGCTCAGGCTTAAATTGAAACCAGTCTCAAAGAATTAGCGCAGTGCCGTCGGGAGTGTTGGTCAGCGCTGGATCCCGGAGTTGCTCCTCACAGTTTTCTTTCCCCGCAGTGTCCGGGTGTCCTCCCGGCTCAAGGGAGTACCTGCCACGGTGTCTGGTGTCGGCAGAATCCTTCCCCTGCTCCGTTTAACAGTTTAATGGCGTTTGGCAGCTTTAAAATTACAGTCTGGGCGGCTTCCCCCACACCAGAGCCGAGGAGGCGCAGAGCTGATTGCCTGATTAACTCCTCGGAGTCGCAGATCATCAGGAATGCAAACAACCCGCACGGTAAATACACATTTTAGGGCAGATCAGCAGCAGCACACACACTTTGAGGCCTTCACCAATTACCCAAATTGGTACGTTCCACTCATTGCGTCGGCATATCGGATATAATGTATCATAGAAAAATCAGCAGCTCACAGCTAAGGGTGTCTGTTGTACTGTGGTTCTCAGCTTGTTGATAGTTTTATTTCAGAAAAGAAACAAATAGATTATTTTATGAGTACATTTATGGATTATGTAAAATTGTATGTACAGTTAGGGGTGGAGTGTGTCAACCCCGAGGTGCTGCCTGGTCTCGAGGCAGCAGCATTGGCCTCGTGCTCTGGCCTGGCTCATTGGCGGTGAGGGAAAGCAAAAGGGTTTTTCTTTTTAAATCATGATTGATGGATGATTTATAACCAGCTGCAGGGGCTAGAGTTCTGGCAAAATGATGACATTCAGTGCAAAGGGGGAAAAAGTGTGTTTTCCTCCCAGTACCCCCTGTTCAGTCTGGCCTGTGTGATGCAGCCTCTGGCCACCAGCCACATGGGCAAACTGAGGCAAACCCTTTTTTATCCCTTTAACAGGGCTTGGGCATGCTCTGCAAGATTATTCCAAATTATTTTGAGAGAGACGAAGGGAATGAGCTCAGTGTAACACTGAAGAGCCTCAAAAGGGGTCAGTATTCTTCTTCAAACACGCAAACCCGCATGGATGCGCTGACCTTTGAAAAAACACAACACACACGAAAATCAGCTAATCTAAAATGAAGGGATGATTTTGCTGTTGCCAAAGAGGCTCAAAAGCGTCGCTTTGCTCAAGCTTATCTCTTCTCCCTCCTCCGGGTCTTGCTCTCGAGTTGTACCGTCCCCGTACCCCGACGGTGGGAGCATCGCACCTGTAATCTGCAGATAACCTTTGTGCCTCCGGCTGTGTCTGCCCGCGTGTCCTGGGGGATCTTCCTCCCCGTTCCCTCCTTTAGCATTCAGGATCACTGCTCTCTGTGCTGGCATGACCTGAGCATGCTTGTGGGCGTGGAGACTCCCACAGAATACACGCCGTGTTTGGAGCCTGTGCTCAAACACCCTTCCCTGTATGTCTGCCACGTTCTCCGTATGTGACAGACACAGACGGGCGCCTCATCCCACGGAACTCTGTTGGAGCTCTGTTTGTGGGGAGCTCGTGAGGCTCAGGGGGGCTTTGAGCTGCTCCAACGCCAGGGTTTGCTCCCCCCCTGGGAGGGCTCCACGTTGGTGTGGGCTCCCACCTCCACGCTGGGTGCAGAGCCCTTCCCAGCACAGCAGCTCAGCTCTGCGGGCTGCCAGGAGGTGAACAAAACAGCCCAGAGCAAGGAGGTGGGAGATGAAAAGAAACTTTGATGAAAGAAATGAAAGGGCAGGGAAGGGAAGGGGGTGTTGCCTGATGTCGCCAGGAGATGCTTGAAGCTCCTGGAGGGAAAGTGGGAGCAATAGTGTGGGAGAGGGGAAGTTTCTGGGTATGAAGGAGATGCTGATGGATGGGAGCAGTGAAGGTGCTAGTGGAGCCTGGCCACAGTCACAGTGTGGAGCACTTTGGGTTGGGATTGTGTCATGATTGATCAACCCAGCCTAATTAGAGCATTACAAAGTGGTTTGGATTGGGAGAGACCTTAAACAACGTCTCAGACCCCCCTGCCATGGGCAGGGACACCTTTCACTGGACCAGGTTGCTCCAAGCCCTGTCCAACCTGGCCTTGAACACTTCCAGAGATGGGGCAGCCACAGTCTCCCTTCCTCCTGCTTTTGAAGGATCTTCCTCAGCTTGGATAGCCCAGGGACAACTCCACAGCTGGCAGCCTGTGGGAGCTGTCACCAGGTGAGGAAGAGCTGGAGGTAGGTCCTGCAGAGAAGTGATGCCCACTGCCTCTTGGGGCACCCCAGTGGAGCTCTCCAGCTGCAGAGGAGCCCTGTTAGGAAGAAATGAGTCTCAGCTGAGATGTGGTTGCAGGATAAATAAGGGCCCAGATGCACTGCAGGAGGTTCTGACTAGCTGGGGTGGTGCTTATTGTCCTCTCTGGCAAAGCAGGGGCCATTCCCTCCTTCCACTGGAGTGGTGGCTCAAGCTGAGCATCTGTGCCTTACCTTCTCGAGCCTGAGGGACATGGCTGAGCTGCTGGAGAGCTCTTGGGGTGCTATGCCCTGCCCCTGATGGGACAGCAGAAAGCAGTTGGCTGTCCTCTGCCAGATGTCCTCCATTCCTCCTCTTTGATCGCCACAATTCCAGACGTGTTACCTGTCATCTGCTTCCACCCACTTTTGGGAGTGATCTTGTACCAGTGCACGATGGATCCGTCCTTGTCTGTGCTTCTGCTGTGAGCCTGGAGCTTTGAGAACACACCTAGAAATGTCAGCTAAAAATAATGAGATTAATGATCCTCACCCAGAAGTTGGGCTTCTGTTTTCCTAGAGAGCTGGATGGAAACCAGTGATGAGAGCTCTTTGCCAGTGGACAGGAAAGCTTGTCTCCAGCCAGCCGAGAGCAGGCTGTAGCCCAAGCAGAAGATGCTCTGCTACAGCTCCTTTTGGAGGGAAACCCCACCTTTTTGGTTGATGTTTAGCTTCACATAGCAGTGCTGTGCCTCTGAGAGATGCGGCTCTGAGAGATGTGCCTCTGAGAGATGTGGCTTTCCTGCTGATGTCCAAGGAAACAAGTTCCTGGGAGGAGACATCTGCCTTGTCCTGGCACAGCTGCTGCCCCGTGTGGCCGGGGAGAGCAGGAGGATTTCTCCCATGTTTCTCCTTTGGTATTTACCTTTTTGGAGCAGGTGAAGGTAAGGATTCCATTTCCTGCTCTGCACAGGGAGTCTGGATGTGGTCTCTGCCCTGCTTCCCTCCATACCAGGTAACCCTCCAGTTCACTTATCTAAGTTCTTGCTGGCATCTCTCATTTACTGGAAATCTTTGTTATTTCCCAGGAACACGGCGATGTATGCAGGACAATGTCAGATTCTGTGTAATAAAT